TATATTTATAGAAGAATTGCTCGTTTAAAGGTATAAGATAATATAATAACTGGGAACAAATCACGTACGGTAATAAGGCTTCAAATTAGTATTCTTGGTGTTATGGGTACCAGAGAATGACATACATACATACTTACGTTTAAATATATACATACATAATATATAATGATATGGAATACTTCAGAATGAACAAACAATAAAATACTTAATTGCGTTTTCTGTGATATAATAAGAAAACAACATTTAAAGCTCTTAGGGTCGATTCGACCAAACAAGAGTAAATCTTATTCTTAGAATAACTCGTCAGTTAATCGAGAGTAAATCAATTTTACGTTTTACCAACTACAATTCTAAGAATAGTGGGCCTATTCGGGAATTGTTACTATACCGCCGTTTCGCACGGAATAACGGAGCTATTCCTAGAATAAAGTAATAGCGTCTGTCAGTCCAACATCTGATTTCTGTCATTTCATAAATATTTATTCTGTTTTAATTTCAAGTCAAGGCAATGCACTAAATGATTATTAATAGTCTGAATGCAACGTTTAAACGAAAAAAGATAAAACCACACGACAAAACTTGACAATTCCCTCAAACAAACAAGAAATAAAAATAATACGTTTGACAGCTGGATTTCTTACACAACAGCTACTTTTTCACACTAAAATACGGCAAAATCGAGTTGACGATTTGTATGCTCTTACACTATGCCGTTGAACAACAACATTTATTTGCCGGATTTTATTTTTGTTCACCATTCACTCTGCTATTCGCGTATTGTTATTCCTAGCGCAAGTATACGTGGAAAAACGACTATGAATTTACTCGAGATTAAAATCATGGAATAGGTTATTCCTCGTATAGTTACTCGAGTTTAAATTTAAGTTTGGTCGAATCCGCCCTTAGTGTTTAAAGACTGTGTTCAAATTGAGAATAGATTAATATTATTTGTTTATAGTGTAGCTTTGGCGAAATCTGTGATTGTAAAAGTATGGTCTCTGACAATAGATTCATAATAGTGTTCAAACTTATAACTACTATTAATTATAGTCGAATTTTGACTACCGGGGGACCTCAAGTATTATTAAATTTGTGAAATTGTTGGTGATATTTTCATTACGCTGGGTAAGTAATTATTATCTGTCTTTCTTTTGCGCTACACTGGTGCGCAGTGTTAAATCGTGTCATACTGACAATACTTTAACATAAAAAAGGGTTGATTAAGGGTCGATTCGACCAAACAAGAGTAAATCTTATTCTTAGAATAACTCGTCAGTTAATCGAGAGTAAATCAATTTTACGTTTTACCAACTACAATTCTAAGAATAGTGGGCCTATTCGGGAATTGTTACTATACCGCCGTTTCGCACGGAATAACGGAGCTATTCCTAGAATAAAGTAATGGCGTCTGTCAGTCCAACATCTGATTTCTGTCATTTCATAAATATTTATTCTGTTTTAATTTCAAGTCAACGCAATGCACTAAATGATTATTAATAGTCTGAATGCAACGTTTAAACGAAAAAAGATAAAACCACACGACAAAACTTGACAATTCCCTCAAACAAACAAGAAATAAAAATAATACGTTTGACAGCTGGATATCTTACACAACAGCTACTTTTTCACACTAAAATACGGCAAAATCGAGTTGACGATTTGTATGCTCTTACACTATGCCGTTGAACAACAACATTTATTTGCCGGATTTTATTTTTGTTCACCATTCACTCTGCTATTCGCGTATTGTTATTCCTAGCGCAAGTATACGTGGAAAAACGACTATGAATTTACTCGAGATTAAAATCATGGAATAGGTTATTCCTCGTATAGTTACTCGAGTTTAAATTTAAGTTTGGTCGAATCCGCCCTTAATCTCTTTTAAAATTAATATTTTTAACAGTATTAATATAGGTACTATGCAAAACTGAACAACTCCCTTCACTGAATGACAGGCAGGTGAGTGATTCCGTCTAAGAAAAAACTTTTTTTTAAGCTAAAGAGTTTTAAAGGTTTTAAAAAATAAAGGTTTTACTTTACACATATATAGATAATAAACACCCAAACGAAGAGCAAACAAACCTGTTCATCACACGAATACTTGCCCGATGTCATCTTTCTTCTTTGGTCTTTTCCAGTCTTGCAAAATCACCCCTATCAAATCATTGGTTTAGAGTATATCTTTTTGGAACGAAGTTCCTTATGGGACGATGCGGAGGGGTACCCTAACCGGAAAAAAACGTCCGTAACGTAAGATTTTTAAGAAACGCATTACTGCTTCACAGCAGATATAGGCAGGGTGGTGGTACCTACCCCTGCGGACTCACAAGAGGTCCTACCATCACCATTCATGTGGGTTCGCCGTTATATCACTTTCTGCAGCGAAGTGATGACGACAACCTCTTCATTATGTGACCTTGGTTCATAAGAAATTATAAAATCAACCGTCTATCATCATAAAGTAATTATTTTGGTCGTAATTAGATATAAATTTGAAAATATCTATTAATTTTAATTAGTATTCAATTGAGGTTTCGCAAAATACTGAGGGCAGTAGCGTGGGATGTTTTATAATTGAATCAGACTATAATTAGATATAGGGAGGCAGGAAATCGTAAATTGGATCGTAGAGTATTTTGGTTATCTCGAAATTGAATATTTTTAACAGACTTAAAGAAAACGAGGGAGAGTGATTCTCAGTTCGACTTTTTTGTGTGGGTTACATCAGAACTTTTTCTAGGTAAACCGATTTTGATGTTTTATTTATTTATTTTGAATGCTGCTTCTCAAATGATTCCATTTAAAGATCTGAATAGTACTTTTTTATTTATCCTTATGCATATCTAATTGACTTATTTATTTATTTAAGGATTACCGACAGGGTTTACAGTAAGACATAAAATAACATTGACATGTATAGAGCAATTGATTACTACAACTCTAATTATAGGCAATCACAGCATGCATTACATTAATATATTAATAGAGATTTAACAATACTATAAATAATAATAATAAATTAAAAACAAAAGAAAGACAACAAGGACAGTAATACCTGAGTACTCAGACCAAGGCTGAGGCTGAGGTTCAACAACAACTTTTTATAATTTTGTTCTTAAATATTGGAAGGGAATCACCAAATATGTAAAGGTTTTCAACTTTTTTAACTAGATTATTATAAAGGTTAGTTAGATGAGGAGTAGGTGAGTGCTTGCCTAGATTGGTTCTGCTAAAGCGGGTGCTGAAAAGAGCAACGGGGCGACGAGGTAACCTAGATGGCACCTTCAAAGAGAATTTATTGAGGATCATACTATTGAAATTTTCTTAAAGTCGGTTTATTTTTTTCTACAACTTTGTATTAAATTTATGTAGCTGATATTTTGAGTTAACAGGCTTGTGTATATCGTCTATACGTCCAGTATTTAAATGAAAAATATTTGCCTATCCATTGCCGATTTTAAGTTCAAATTTAAGTACAAATGTACCAAAGTATTTTTCAAGTTACGAGTTTTAGGGCGTACAGTTGTGAGCTCATGCTTTTATTAAAATTTTATGATAGCCTTTTCTATGATACAGCACGGCAATGGGCGATTTTCGAAGTTTTTCCAAATTTTTTAATCAGCACATTTGTATGTAGCTGATGTCAACGTGTCTTCACTGCGTGATATATTTTTTTATTACCCTTATAGTCTACTAGTATAGTGGTTACCGTCGCCTATAGACGCCAGCAATACTAGGGGCAGAGATAAGCCGCTGCCTGCCGTTACGTATTCTCCACAAGCCTCGTTTGAAGAAGGACATGTCCTAGCGCTCGGCAAACATCATGGAGGGGAGCAAATTCCAAAGACGGATGGTACGTGGCAAAAAAGATCTCTGGAAACGCACTGTGGATGACCGCAGTGGCTCCAAGTAGTATGGATGAACTCTACTCCGGTGGCGTGTGTCCTTTTCACTCAAAATGGCCCAAATGTACAACTAGCTAATCATCGGCTATCATTACCTATATCAAATACTAATACACAACGGTTAACCACATATGTCTTTACGCTTTGTGAATGTTATAAAAATATATATTTAAAATCATTAAATTTGATGTGATTATTTAAAATGAATTTCCATCCATTTATATTTTGCAAAACTAGGGGCTATAACGTAAATAGTAGTAATTTCAGCTTAATTGAGATTGTGATGACTTTTCAGGTTGCTTTGTTATTGTTGTCCTCTGAGACGTCAGTCTCGTGTCCAATTATGATTATTGCTATTCAATTACTTCTTATCACAAACTCAATTTTATTCTAGGGAGTTTCCTAACTGTATGTAGATAAAGGAATAAATACCGCTCACTAACTTTTCGATACTAGTTGTCTAATTCGGTATACAAATTATTTATCAATGTAGAAGCGTAATAAGAACGGATTTTTAAGTGATTTTTTATATACCATTACTTAATTAAACAAAATAAATAAATACGCTTAATAAAGGTACCATGGTAACCGTTGTTATAAAGCTAGTAGTGTGTGGACAAAACAGCCATACAAGTAATTCTTAATCCTGAAAAAATGCGTTCAATGCGTTTTATAATTATTTAAGGTGAGTAAAACTACGGGGCAGGACTTCGTCTTTCGTGTCTTTAAGCTGTCTTCAAAACTTAACTATCTTAATGTTAAAGTTGTAAATCGTGGTAAAAACCCGATAAAATATGTAGTATTATACACCGGTAGCGTCACTTGGACTTTGAACATGACTCTATCAAAAGCCATATTGCCTAATTGTAGTTACTTATTTTAACAATTCAAAACGAAGCCTTTATCTTGAGACATTAAGGTCGCATTTTTCACATTCAAAAATGTATAAACATATTGGTGGATGAGCTAGTTCGCAACTGTATATGCCATCTGTATAATGAAGTTGAGAGAAACACTAATCGGTATGAGGCGGGGGGTTGGGGGGTAGATAGCATAACTACTAACCAGGTTTAAAAAAAAATTACTCTAACTCACCTTGACTCTCATTAAAAAACCCCAACACCATTATAACGATGACAGCAACACCGACTTTGATTCTGTAGCTAATGATATTCATGGTTCGGTAGTGGATCGCCCTTAGACCCATGGCTCAGCTATGCCGCATCCATTCGTTGTATAGGATCGTAGGTTGTTTACGCCCTTTTTCATTGACGAGATTCATGATCTGAAACAAAAAATAAATCATTTTTTTGGCAGAACGAGAACTTGTCAAAAATTATTCTACATCGCCCTAAAAAATTACGCGTATTTGTCAACACTTTGCAGTAAAATTATCATCAATTATTGCATACATTAAGGCGATTGTGTGATATATTTAGACTCTGTAAAAAAATAATTAAATTAACGCATTAAATTTTGCATATCTGAATTGTTTTGCATAGCGTGTTCTATTTTGATTTTCATATTTGATTTGACTTTCTCATTTTTGATCTGGTTTCCGTTAATAAGTAACGGTCATTAATTACTTCGTTGCGTTTAATTTAAATCTATTGGCTAAGATTGTGCAAAAACAAATGTTTTCATTAGTAATTCAGAAGCATGTTTTATTTGGTAATAATTTTAGTAAATTCCGACAGATCAACATTTTAAAATATCTTTGTAGTTTAAAACGATGTTTGGTCAACCTTTGAAAAGCAACATAATTATTGTAACCCAGTCATTTCCTCTTTATATGGTTATTTTTGGCTTAGTAAGCTGACGAGCAAATTCAAATTCAAATTCAAAATCATTTATTTCAACTTGGATGTCAGCATAACACACTTGTTGAATGTCAAAATATAAATGAAAATGTTAACTCTACCACCGGTTCCAAAAAAGCCACAGTCCTGAGAAGAACCGGCGAAACAAACTCAGCAGCGTACCGTCTCTACCTGGTGGCGAGTGGTTATTCTTGCTCGTGCAGATCAGCAATGTCAGAGGCACAGCCAAACCGCTGTCTAGTAATCAGGAGGGTTTGAAGTCGTCGTGGCCTAAAGGATAAGACGTCGGTGTTCGAATCCCGCAGGCGGATACCAATTTTTCTAATGAAATACGTACTCAACAAATGATTTACTTCCACGGTGAAGGAATAACATCGTGTAATAAATATAATGTCAGTAAAGGTTTTGAAGTCTGTAATAGACATTATTGCTTCTCATCTTGTTAGTATTTTTAATGATTGTATTAAGTGTGGTGTATTTCCTGACTTAATGAAACTTAGTAAAGTGATTCCTCTTTTTAAATCTGGTAGTACTGATGACCCCTCTAACTATAGACCTATTTCAGTACTCCCTACGTTGAGTAAAATCTTTGAAAAAATTATTTTGACACAACTTTTAGAACATTTCAATTCAAATAACCTGCTTCATAATAAACAATTCGGGTTTACAAGGGGTCGCTCTACAACTGATGCAGGTGCTTATCTAATCAAAAATATATTTCAATCTTGGGAGGAATCGCATGATTGTCTTGGAATTTTCTGTGACTTATCCAAAGCATTTGACTGTGTTGAACATGAAACATTGGTGAGGAAACTACATCACTATGGTATTAGGGATGGTGCATTGGAACTTATTACTTCCTATTTATCAGGAAGGATACAAACAGTAGATGTGAAAGGAAATAGATCTTCAGGCACCACGTTGAAAATGGGTGTACCTCAGGGTTCCATTTTGGGTCCTTTTTTATTTCTAATATATATAAACGATTTGCCTAGTTTTATTGAGTCCCGACACGAGGTCGTATTATTCGCAGATGATACATCTTTATTATTTAAAATTAAACGACAATTACAAGTCTATGACGAAGTGAATGATGCGATTTCGTGTGTGGTTCATTGGTTCCGTATCAATAACCTATTATTGAATAGTAAGAAAACTAAATGTATTAAATTTACTTTAAAATGTATTAAACCATCTTTAAATGTGAGACAAGTGGATAGTGATGTAATTGTTTCTGAGGAATCATTGGAGCTTGTTGAGTCAACCGTATTTCTTGGTATAACAGTGGACTCCAAACTGCAGTGGGGACCTCATATTCATAAATTGGCGAGTAAGCTTAGCTCTGCAGCATACGCAGTAAAAAAAATTAGAATGTTAACAAATGCGGACACGGCTCGTTTAGTTTACTTTAGTTACTTCCACAGTGTCATGTCCTATGGCATTTTGCTATGGGGCAATGCGGCCGATGTAGAAATGATATTTATTCTGCAGAAAAGAGCTATACGTGCTATTTATAACATGCACTCAAGGGAATCCCTGAGGGAAAAATTTAAAGAAATTAAAGTTCTCACTATGCCATCCCAGTACATCTTTGAAAATTTGATGTATGTTCGTAAACATATTGAGGAGTTTCCTAAAAAGTCGGACATACATAATAGAAATACTAGGAACAAACACAAGCTTGTTGTGCCGATGAGTAGGTTACATAAGATACGAAATTCATTCGGGTGTTTGTCTGTGCGCCTGTACAACAAAATCCCACAAGATGTTCAGAACCTACATATACATAGGTTTAAGAAAACTATTAAAGAACATCTGTGCAATAAAGCTTACTATAAAGTCAATGATTATCTAGAAGATTGCACAAAGTGGGAATGAGTTGCTCGCTCCGGGAATTTCAATATTGTAAAATTGTTATGTTATAATTACTTATTGTAATATGAATATTTAAAAAAAAAAAAATATTTAAAATAAAAATAAAAATCTAATATTTAAAAAAAAAAAAAAAAAAACATGCCCGCTGAGTTTCTTGCCAATTCTTCTCAGGACGGAGGCTAATTCTTGTGAATTGGCGGTAATTCTTTTGACGTTCAACAAGTATGTACTTTCATTTATGTTGAATAAAACTTTTTTGATTTGATTTGATTTGAATAAAAATCAAACCCGTAAAATTATAATTTGCGTAATCACTGGTGGTAGGACCTCTTGGGAGTCCACACGGGTAGGTACCACCACCCCGCCTATTTTTCGCCGCGAAGCAGTAATGCGTTTCGGTTCGAAGGATGGCGTGGCCGTTGTAACTATACTGAGACCTTAGAACTTATATCTCGAGGTGGGTGGCGCATTTACGTTGTAGATGTCTATGGGCTCCAGTAACCAATTAACATCAGGTGGGCTGTGAGCTCGTCCATCCATCTAAGCAATAAAAAAAAATAAAAAAATAAAAAAAAAAACCTGCAGACGAGCTGATTTCAGAGCCAAAAATTACGTATGAAAAATTTTGGAAACGCACCGTGGATAAACTTTTGACGGGCTGTGCGACGGTAAACATGAATGACGGGATCTTCGCAGATAATTCCTAATAACCTGCTACCGTTGTCCACATTACCAAGGAATTCTGCCGCTGATCTTTAAGCACGAACTAAAATCGGAATTGTATAACGAGCCACTCTTCAAATTTGAACACATAATATTGTCCTGTCAAATATATTAAATGGGAAAGAACACGTTCCAATGGCAGTCTTTTCTCAACGAAATAAATCTAAGAATATTCACACAGCAAATACTTTGCGAGCTCCACGAAAATAAATCTCATCGGACTACCAGCTGATCCTTTCATTTCACGAAACGCTGGATGTTTAAATTCTATTTACTTGAAATGCCATCGTAGGTATTCTGTAATGGAAACATTCGTTTTGACCGACACGTTCTTCCTTATACGGTTGCTCATCTATTATGTCCAATATTGAATGTCTATTTTAACATACATTAATTGTTAAGCCGTTGGTCGGATCAGATAACTGCGCTCACTGGACTCTCTGTTGCGAACGCCCTGAGAGAAGCCGAAAACCGAAGCAAATGGAATCTGAGGGTACAAAGAGCCACGAAGGGCTTTCAAGGACACGACCTTCAGCAATAAAGTATTCGACTAAGAAGAAGAAGAAGAATAATAATTGTTTTATAGAAGTGGTAGTTTGATGTGCAAGTGATTAGGAGATGTATGGAAATGGTAGTGCAAGGTAGAGGAGGAGAACAAAGAAGACATTTTTTTTTTTTATTGCCCTTGTAGGCAGACGAGCATACGGCCCACCTGATGGTGAGTGGTTACCGTCGCCCATGGACTTCAGCAATGCCAGGGGCAGAGCCAAGCCGCTGCCTACCGTTTAATACTCTCCACAAGCCTCGTTTGAAGAAGGACATGTCATAGCGCTCGGGAAACACCGTGGAGGGGAGCTCATTCCATAGCCGGATGGTACGTGGCAAAAAAGACCTCTGGAAACGCACTGTGGATGACCGCAGTGGCTCCAGGTAGTATGGATGAACTCTACTCCGGTGGCGGGCGGTGCGATGGTAAAAACGAGATGCCGGTATCATCTCGAACAATTCCTCAGAGCACTCCCCATGGAACATACGGTACAAAATACAGAGGGAACCGAAGTCCCTCCGCAGACCCAGAGGNAACGGATAAGACGTCCGGTGCATTCGTGTTGAAGCGATGCACCGGTGTTCGAATCCCGCAGGCGGGTAGTAATTTTTCTTATGAAATACGTACTCAACAAATGTTCACGATTGACTTCCACGGTGAAGGAATAACATCGTGTAATAAAAATGAAACCCGCAAAATTATGATTTGCGTAATTACTGGTGGTAGGACCTCTTGTGAGTCCGCGCGGGTGGGTACCACCACCCTGCCTATTTCTGCCGTGAAGCAGTAATGCGTTTCGGCTTGGAGGGTGGGGCAGCCGTTGTAACTATACTTGAGACCTTAGAACTTGTATCTCAAGGTGGGTGGCGTATTTACGTTGTGGATGTCTATGGGCTCCAGTAACCACTTAACACCGGGTGGGCTGTGAGCTAGTCCACCCATCTAAGCAATAAAAAAAAAAAATTTGTAAGTGCAAGTTTTGTATTGATATTCCGGCTTAAGCCCGTGTTCAACACGTCCTTAGGTATCAAGACAGGATTTGTTCATTGACAAAAATAAAGCCGCTAGATATGAAACTTTAAGACAGTAAAAAAACTTTCTCCAAAAGTTTTCTAAAATTTCTTGAGTAAAATTCTACTTCCCGGACACGTAATTTATGCGGAACATTAACCCATCATAATTTTTGCACCTAAGATTTTTTGCCTACCCTCATTTTCCTTATGAAAACTTCTCAATTAGTGAGTTTACCGCTTACGGCGAAACTTTGCAGCTTCCCTCTGGCCATTAAAGTCCTTTAGAATCGACCGAGAGTTGCAGACG